TACACATATTTATATATATATGTACACACTGAATTTGGCATTAAATCGGGTAAACGTAGAAGAAAACACCTTGAATTGATACTTTGTATTCGACTCCCTTCATTGCTTTCCCAGTGATCTGAACCTCTCGTATTACGTTCCACTGATCTGCACAGGTTATGTTTATCTTAGTTAAATGCTTTTCTTAATTTTCTTCCCATCCTATTTTTTTTTCTCAATAATTGTATTTATTTTTGTTAGAACTTGTGTAAAAGTATTCTCCAACAAGCATCTTTCCAAGAGTTTAGATTGGGAGACACAGCAAGTGACACCCGCTTTTCATGTTAGTGTTGACTGTTTCTTTTAAAACAGGGAATCGTTTTTACAGGTTAAGGGAGTAGCTTTTTTATTCACTTATTTTTCTTATATATATATATATATATATATATATATATATATATATATATATATGTTTTTTTAATTTCTTTTTGGCTTATGTCTACACTTGCGAGGCTTTCAAAACGCCCCTAACTTTACATAACGATTGAGAGCCTACCTCAGATATGACTTTTGTCTTTTTCACCCGGAACAACCCTCAGCTGTTTGTATCAATATCTGTGGTTTTTCGATTTTCTTGCGAAAACGATCAATCACTGGATACAAAAAAAAAAAAATAAAATAAAATAAAATAAATGGAATAAAGTCAAATGAAGTAAAAACAAAAAAACAAAAAAACAACAACAAGAGAAAAACAACAAAACTAATCTTTTCTCTCAGAAAAAAAATGAAATAAAAACAAAAGTGTTTTCAAAACAGAGTTAATTTTCTAATAACAAAATCTCTTCGCTTACATGACTGATTAAAATTTTTCACATATTTTGATTAAAAATATTTCTCTTTTTAATTCTTCACTGCGTTTTCAATTTTAATGAAACAAAGACATCTGTTATATATATATATATATATATATATATATATATATATATATAATTCTGGAGTATTTTGTAGCGAAAAAGAAGCAGCCAAAATGAAATAAGGTACCTTTCTCCACAGGGGCCACATGTTGAAGTGTGTATTAAAAAAAACAAACGCTTACACACATAAAAAAAATCATTTTGACGGTTTATATAACATCACCTTGAGTGGTGATTTTACATATGCAGCTTAGATATGGTACAAGGCCGAAAATATGGAATCCATTAAGAATCGAACTCACTTTTCAGTGGTAATTTATCTAGCGAGAAAAAATTGCTAATTATTGCACCACGTTGAATAGCCTGTACTTCACCCTGAGAGACTTGGGATTGGTTCCTTGAGAACGCTGGGATTAAGAGACAGTTGTGTAAATGAACACAGAACAAGCCTTAAAAACGAATGTAGCAACATTCGAAAGTACTCGGGAAGAAAATAATATACAATGAAAAGAAATTTGAATTCTAGCAAATTTACCGATAACATAAAACACTTAATTCGGAAAATGAAAAATTAATGAAAAAATTGAAGGCAGAACTTATTCATATTATTTAACCAAACATTTTGGTTATATGATCCCGACAATATATATATATATATATATATATATATATATATATATATATATATATATATATATATAGGGGGGCTAGTGTTTTATATGGATGCTAGCCTCCGTGCATAGAAAGTAAAAAAAAAAAAAGTTAAAATATGAAGGTTTCTGTAATTAGAAATAAGTTTTATTCATTACTTTTACTTTTATTGTTAATTCTGACTTTTTAATTGCAGTCATGTGACACTCAAATTCTTTACTCCCTACGCAATATTTTTACGGCTGGCATAATATGTGAAACGAAATGTTTTCAGAATTGGAAACGTGTCATGACCTTATCCGTATTTAGATGTGTATGCAATTTATACATAGACATTTGTATGTGGGTGAGGTCATATGCCTGTACACAGGCGGCAGTGTATAAATTTTGCACTTATATATATACAGGCCTACTAACGGGCACATCCATGCATGTATTTATGTAAAAGACTAAAAGTTCCATTGCGCGCGTACACACACACATACACACACACACACACACACATACACACACACACAAACACGCGTGCACACATGCGTATATATTTTTTAGTATCCATTCACATATACATATGTATGTACAATAGGAAGCCAAGAAATACTTACATTCAACAGACAGCCGATCTTGAGAATATTTAAAAAAATATAGATTGTTAATCATGAGCCTTGATATCTATATATATGTATGTATGTATGTGTGCGTGCGTGCGTGTGTGCGTGCGGGTACTGTACTTAATAAATAAAATAACAACTGGCAGATAGAAAAATGTATATTAGGGAAAAAGAAAGTGCTCAACGTTTTATAGCAAAGCAAATATCATTTACAAAAATGTTTTCCCTATCGACCGGCCACTATTTAAAGTTACATGTGCACGTCAGTACAAATTAAATTTTAAGTAGAAGCTAGTCGATAGGGACACGTTTCTTGTATATATATATAATATATATATATATATATAAAGGGAAAGATAAAACGAGAAAGTAATTTATTGGCGCGTGGGATCAATTAAAAGTGCATTATTTTCGGAATTCTCTACGGTAAATTTACGTCCAGAAATGCTTATCTGACGTCCTCACATATTTACTTCTAATACAATGGGGTATAGTTAAAAAATAAGTAACGCTAAAAAGAAAAACAAAACGATAAAATGCTTAAGAGCCGTAAAAATTTAAGTTCAAAAGCTGAACGTCACTGTCTCTTTAACGTTTCGATGTTTAACTCTAACAGGCGTTTGTTGTATTTCTCACCAACCACATTTTATATAAAAACTGGTTGCATCAATAATACCCTTACGTAGTTTCTTACTGGAAATGAAGCACGTCACTAAGAAGTTTTTCCCACTAATATACTAACACACGTATATATATATATATATATATATATATATATATATATATATATATATGCGTGTGTGTGTGTGTGTGTGTGTGTTTGTTGTTAGGAAAACTAATGACAAAGTAGAAAAAAAATGTGTGACACTTTTGGTTCTTGAGGACTTCATTGGACTAAAGTATTTACTTTGATGTAACTACATATGCGCATGAAGAGCATGGAACACTGGAATGTTAAGCTTTGGAATTTAAACTTTTTAATAGATTTTTTAAAGAGGTGTTTGTGTATATAGTGAAGCCAATTTCATTTAGTTTTCTTTTTGCTTATGTTTTTATCCTTTTTGTTATTGAATATATCCCAAATTGTGGTATTAGAAAATCTGCCAAGAAAGGCGAAATGTAAGAACTTAGTGGGAATTGTACTGTGGGTAATGTTGCGATTAAACACTTTCTAAACATTTTCGTCTTAGTAAATTGCTTTCTCTTTTAATTAGAGTATCATTTTTAAGTCGAAATTATGGTCAGTGAGCGACTAAAGCACTTGTTGTGGATCGAAGAAGGCTGTTTGAATATTTTAATGTTTCCTTGTAAATAAAACATGCAACATCCACAAACATAGATTTAAATAAAAAAAATCAAATGCTAACGATATCCAATTACGACAAAAAGGATAACTTTGGGAACAAAAGAATAATTTTTTTATATACAGAATTTTAAAATTTTGTTTTGTAAAGATGTGTGCGAAAGCTTGATCAGAGTATTTCAATGAGAAAAGTTCTTGTTGCTGGCTTGGAAATATTTCGCAATACTGTTTATAATGTGGTTTGGAAAATGTCGTATGTACGTGCATGTATGCGTGTGTGAATATGCTTTCAGCGTTCGACCGCAATGGGGTCGCAACGCAATTTCCTTTAAGGTTACATTTTCGTAGGCGAATGAAATCAAGAAAGAAAAAAGAGAAGGGAGAAATTTGTGTCTGATATTTATAATTAGCGTAATCACGTGACAGGCTCATAGAAATGAAGCGGGAAATCTTGACTTGGTCACGCGCTGGAAAAAACTTTTACGTGGGTGGATTGCAACACCCACTTGTGTGTTTATTGACCAATTAGAAGTTGAGATTTCCTGAAAATATGTATCAAGCTGGGTAAGCTCTTTGATCCACTTTTTGCACAGATTTGTACAAAATTCAGCATTAATAAGAAAGTGGTATTGGGATGCTAAACACTGATTGAGTTTCGTTAAAGATCCCTTTTGTGATCGTATAATCTTTTATTTATATTCCTTCAGGTTTCTCCTGTGTATTCCTTGTGGCAATCAGTACAGGTGATAAAGTAAGTTCCTCCTTCAAGAGTTAGCTTATTATTATTTTGTTTTGTATTTAGACTTTTAGTAAAATATATAGTGTCTTCATTTTTTTCATACACGATACCAGATATCTGGTATATTTCAGTGTCTGTAAAAAATGTTTCGTACGTATATGTCCTGGTACTCTCAACCAGCATTGGTCATTTGCAAAAACGTGAACTATGCAATAGGTTTGAAATTTAAGAAAATTTTTGATGTATTTGTTTTTTATTTATTTATTTTGGCGTTTCATGTTTCGAACTTTATAAATCCAAATTGCATTTCGTCCATGTTGATGACGTCATTTATAGGCCACTCACACCACATGTAAAGTGTTTTTGTGATATTATGTACACTGCTAATGCATCATCATTAATTGTTGAATATGTTTAATACACTTGTTTTTCTTCTGAAAAATATTCAATGTAGATATAATGACAAAAGTACGCAGGTGTAGGCTTTAAGAAAGCTTTATTCAACTGAGAATACAAGGTTGGCGTATAGCGTCCTTTTATAGTTCTAGTAAACAGGAATAGCTCTCTCAATGACGAGAGTAACAAAACAAGGGGAGAACACTCTTGATTATTCATAACAGTAAATTCTTTTATTTTTTACGATCATTGATTCAATTATTTTCAGTTTCTGTTTTGCTATTTAATATCTTTGTTTTGTCTACAAGTATCTATCTGATGATATTCGTAGGAAAATGTAGACTTTGTGTTTATGTTTTTCTGTGTGGGCACAGGTTCCCTCGGTTATACGAAAATAGAGAGTTCAAGGTCATATCTTGTTGAAACACCGGTTCTCGTACGATCACCGAAGTTAAGCAGCGTCGAGTATGGTCAGTAGTATGATGGGTGACCGCTAGGGAATACCAGGAGCTGTAAGTTTGGATGTGCAGGTGGTGTAATAGATGAGGCCTCCGAATTGGAAATCGGAGAGCAGAGTTCCAATTTTCAGTCGCAAACACCTTTAGGAAAAGTATAAACGAATTCACCTCTTCTTCCCCAGCTATGGGTTAATTAGTAAAAATAATTATTATCTCAAAAAATTATTACGCGGTAAAAATATTTTCTGCCTTTAAATAACTTGAAAAAGGTTGATAAGCCATAAAAGCAAATCAATCAATTACTCTGGACCAATCGAGGTAGAGGGTTACGTTATGGTGTAGGTTATATGGGTAGGAGGAGAAGATAACGGTTTATTCTAGATTTGAACAGGTTAAGATTGTAGGGATCGGGAAAATATCCTCTTGGGAGTCTATTCCACAGAGCTACTTGAGTGGAACTTACTTCTTACCGATGGAAAACGGAGGGAATGTGGGTGGTTTGGTACAATGTAAATGCTACAATATATATATATATATATATATATATATATATATATATATACGATACAATGAGAAAGAAAGAGTAATATATAAATTCTAACGTTCACAGTATTAACCCAAAAGAGGGTCCGATACCCATAGTAGAGTGATAACTATTTATTATAATTTTATCATATAGACAAAAACAGTTTACTCACTACAAAGATGCAACTTCGTTTCGCTGCATTTCAATTGCACCTCGACTGGTGAGAACGAAAAAGGATGAAAGCGTGGACTTTAGAAATCTAAAGTATCCGCTTTTATTATTACTCTTATATATATATATATATATATATATATATATATATATATATATATATATATATATATATATATATGTGTGTGTGTGTGTGTGTGTGTGTGTGTGTGTATTAGAATCCGTCAATAGAAGCATTATTAGTCAAAAAAGTCATTTTGAGAGACGAAAGGCGTTAAATAAGCGTTTATTTCCGATTTGAATTTATTTTACATATAATTATAAATAAATAAATCTTTATATAAACTGAAACGTGTTTATTTATGTGTGTGTGTGTATATATATATATATATATATGCATACCGTGTAATATTTAAATTTACGAATACATATGCATACATTTGCATACAGAACCATTTTAAACATTTACTAAGTATAACTTTATTAACTCATGATGTGCGCCAGACCATTTGAAAGATGGACTTCACGAAATGTCACTACGTCAGCAATATCACGGCTTACGAATTGCTCCACGGCAAGGGCCTCGTGCATGCATACAGTATAAATAAATAAATAATCACACATACACTGACACAAACACACACTGACACAGCACACACGCACACACACACACACACACACACACATATATAATATTTCTGTTGATTGGTCAACATAAAACTTTGCACATATGCGTAAAATATGCGTACGTATACATTGTGTCAATTCTATTTTTTTTTAAAATTTTTCACCATTTCTTTCGCGTAAAAGACACACATATACACACACAGGCCACGGGGCATGGACAAAGGAATGTATTATAAGTAGAAACATATTCACTTCGCCATACATGTTTATCTCTGTGCACGTGTGCATGCGTGCGTTCATGTGTGTTAGCGCATGCGCACTGACATGTGCACATCTACATTTCAAATCAGCAAATACTCGAGCCCTTTTTGACATTTTTTTTCTTTTTTAAAAAATGATTGTTGGTATAATTTCGTTTCGCTTTTGTAGCATATTTTAAATTCTATATGTGACCACATGTGTGTGTGTGACTCTTGACAGCACAATTTGGCGCTTAATATAACGGTTTATTTCGTTTCCCTACTCAAACGACGCTCCTTCTTTTGGAAGCTCCAGGCGTCAGCAAGCGACTCATATCCGGCCTTGTTAGTTGTAAATCGAGTGATATTTTTCTTTACTTGAAATCAATCTTTGGAAAAAGGGGGAAAAAAAAAAAACGATTTTTTTCCTCTTTGTTTTGTTTTAATTTGTTAGCTATTTTTTAAAAACATTCCAGTTAATGTACGTGAAGATGTGATACGATGTATGGACGTAAATGTGTATATTTTATTTTTGTGCGTACGCTTGTGGCTGTCTTGGGGCGTAGCTGAAGGCTTCTGAAGATTGTTTTCTTTGTATCTGTGTCTATATAGATACACGTGTGTCCAACAGTATATGTATGAGTGTTTGTAATAGTAGATAAAAACTTACGTTGCCTTTTTGAATAAGAAGAGTGTATTTCTGTTTGGAGGAAGCATTTATTCTGCGCTTGTGTTACGGGTACAATAGATTTATCCAGTAATGCGAAAAAAGAGAAAGAAAGAGAGAGAGAGAAAGAGACTAAAAGCAATAAAAGGAGAGATATAAGGATGAATGAGAGAAAGGATAAAACACAAAAGAGAGAAAGAGAGAAAGAATGAACATAAATAAAATAAGGGAGAGGGAGAATGTGAGTGAGTAAAGCAGATACAATCATAGAGAAAGAGAGAAAAAGTGTAAAGTAAAATAAGAGGGAGGGAAATAGGGAGAGTATGAGTGTGTGTAAATAAGAATGATGAAGTGACAAAGAGAGAGAATGAGTAAATGATAAAATGACAGTGAAAGATATAGAGAGGAGAAGGTACATAAAAAGACCAATAGAGTGAGTGAGTAAAAGTGAAAACTTATATTCAGAGGAGAGAGTGAATGAAAGAGACAAAAAAAGGAAAAAAAAAGAGATGGGGAGAGAAGGAGAAAATAACAGCCAAGAGAAAAGACTAAATACATAAAAAAGAAACAGAGGTAAATGAAAACAATACATATAGGGGGAGGACTTGATTGATCGATTTGTTTTTATGGCTTTACAAACCATTTGTGGCTTATTTAAAGTTGATATATTTTGGATTGTAAGAATAATTCTTCTTTTTTTTTTGAGTGTGAGTACTGCATTGACTATTTTTGTAGAGCGACGATTTTTCCAGAGAAAAGTCCTATTTAACCCATAGCTGGGGGAGATGGATTCATACATTTCCCAATAGAATTTGTGTGCGAGTGAATATAACGAACCCGAACTCGGCTCTGTGTGTGTGTGTGTGAGAGAGAGAGAGAGAGATAGCGATGGAGGGAGATAGAGGAGGGAGAGAAAGAGAGAGATAGAGAGAGAGAGAGAGAGAGAGAAGAAAATGGAAAAGCAATAAAGCAGAGAAGGACTAAAAAGAAAATAAAGAAAGAAAAGAAAAAGAAAGATAAAAAAAAGAGGCGGGGAGAAATAAAAAAGCGAGAAATGGCGGAAGGGAGAGAGAGAAAGAGAGAGAGAGAGAGAGAGAGAGAGGAAGGAAGGAAGGAAGGAAATTCTTAGCAGTTGCATTTATGTCGAAAATGAGTTTGCAATTCGGATGAATTTTGTCTTTACTTGGCGCACAGACACTGGTGGCTAATGAGGACGATACAAGTCGGATCTTTCACAATGGTTGCAGGGTAATTGCTGGTTCTCTTTGCCTTCAGGCTGGCAGTCGGAAGCTTCTATAGTCCAAAGATAGGGGCTGATGTTACTCAGAGTGAGAGCCTTCTACACTGCTTTGTTGCAGTGAAAGTTCGCTACATAGTATAATTGAGTTAACATTTTCGAAACATGTCCCGCCCAGCATAGCCGAATTTTCTGCAGGATGGTCTTGATGCATGGTATCTCGGCTTTTTTGAGGACATCTACCTTAGTGACGAAATCGCTCCAATGGATGGATTATATGCACCAGCGACGCAATAGTAGGGATAAAAGTACATAAGAGAAATAATATAATATTATATAATGTTATAATAATACTGAGAAATAATGTTGACTGTACGAATTTGCGTTTGTGAATGTCTAGATATTTAATAAGAAATGTCGAACAAAAAGACAGTGTACAGTAATCACAGTTCAGGATTTGTACTAATTTGCAAAGGCTTGCGAGACCAACTTCTTAAATCTTGCTCTACGGTAGACGTTTTAATTATGAGGAAGATTTTCATATTCTAACAAATGATCACAACAGTCAGCTGCGCCTTATAGTCACGATCTGTAAAAGAAACCTGCTGACCATTTATTGCGAAAAAATCATACTCGAGAATCTTTGATTCCCAAATCGAAAATATTTGTCTCTCAAGGAAAGAATTTCAAATCTAAGGGGAGAAATTTTAACCAGGAGAGTAATTTCAGCAAGGGGAGGAATTGAGTAGGAATTTGAGTTAGAGGAAGATTTTCTAACTAGGAAAGAATGTATTCTGTATATTGTATCTATATACGAAATACACAACCGGAAGATCGATTAGGAATTAAGAATTCACAAAAAAGACCCCCCCAAAAAAAAACAAAAACAAAAAGTAACAAAAAAAAAAAAAAAATAAATAAATAAAATAAATAAATAAAAACAACAAAAAAATACTGTTTCAAAATAAATTCAATCATTACGGTTTAAAAAGCGTGTATCACAGAATGTAGTTGAAGAAATATCCGTTTTCAAGTTTTTGTAAGTTGAATTTAACCAAATTATAATTGCATTAAAACAACTTATAATTACAACTGCAAAAGTATAATGCTAAAAAGTTAAATTTAAAATCTGGGCGATATTGAGCAAAACTAGAAATCCAATTTTATCAAGAAATGCCATCGACTGCCATACTGCATTCAAAAATAGATCAGTCGACTGAAAGGCGCACCAAATAATTAACAATGGAGATCTTTCTGACTGAAATTACTGGTAACTTAAGTTGCTATTATTTATTATTTATAGTTGGATGAAAATCCTCACCTTTGTTTTTATTTATTGATTATGTCCTCCGACCTTCTTCAGGTGTCTGTCGATCCGAGTAACTGTCAGGTAATTTCGAACTAAACCATATATTTAATCTCTGGGGACAGATTGTTCTTGTTCAGCAGTCCATGTCTAGGGATATCTCGTTCAATAACTGATCAGTACTAAAAAAGATCTATCTATCTATCTATCTATCTATCTATCTATCTATCTATCTATTATGGGATCTTACCCATAATAATAATAATAATGGACTATTTCATACTT